CTTGTCATATGTCAAAAATCTATAATTCTTGAAGAGTTAAAAGAATCCTTAATTCATTTAATATTCTAAGAACTAAATATTAAAATTTGTTCAATTGCTCTACCTTAGAAAGTAGCATAAATTCAATCATTTAACAGATTAAGCGAAAGATCAAAAACGTGTTCAAACAAAACAATCCTCTAAGTGCAAATGGTATATGCCATGCCCCCTTCTTCGGCAAGCGCCTTACAGGTTTCAGAGGAATGTTTGGGGCTTCTTACGTGGTAACAGCTAGCAGCTTCAACATCGTGGCCCTTAGGATATGGGGATTCTTTTCTTAGATCATCCTGGCAAGCTTTGTCCTACAATCAGCTGATCAGGCTCCTACTGTTACAATCTTGCTTCCATGTGGTTAAATTCGCTTCATCGAGCCCTTCACGACTTAATTTCATGTTTGTGAAAATGCTTAAAATGTAGATGAAAATGCAAAAAGGCAAAAATGCAAAATGCAAGAATGCATAAAATGTTCGAGGCATTGATCCAGAAAAGTGTCCATTATCATAAATAATCCTTATTCAGACAAAAATGTTTTATCTTGTAAGAGACATAAAAACAATAAAAGGTATGTTCGGACTAAATCTTCTAGACATCCATCCGAGATACTTTCTTCCATGACTCGACTGCTTCTTTGATCATCTTCTTATAACTGTCACCGTGATACATAAACTCTGATATAGATAATCCATATATTGCTGGGATAAACTGATGTGCCCCATACTGTCTAAGTGCCAACAACGGAGCATACCCAACTGCACCTCAAAGTCCAAATAGGGTCATAGTGTCAGAATTCCCACACTTGAAAAGAACATCACTGAGGAACAACCAGGGGGCTCTCCAGGTAATATCCCGGTCCTGTAGATGAGTGAAGACTTTCATCCATTTCTCTTTTGAAGCGCCTTCATATCCTGTCATGGTGATGAACTCTCTCAAAGGTGAATACGTAGTGTTAAATCTACAGTAGGCAACCCCATTAGTCTTCTAGAAGTGGATGTGAATCCAGACTTGAAGGAACTGAACACATCCAATGAATCTACCTCCGCCAGCTCTTCGGCAATGGTTGAGAGACCAAAAGGTCTCGGCTGAGATGGTCGGTGATGGGTTGACTCGTTTCGGAAGTTGCTCAAACAGTTCCACCACGGCTGCGTCAATGCATCCTAAAACCTTCGGAAAGATGATCAAGTCATACAGACCTAGTGCAAAAAGGTCTATAGTCTTGCCCGTTACCTTTGTTTCGGAGTCGGTCAGTCACCCATTTTTCATCAACTCCTGCAATCTTAGCCAGTCCGTTCTTGAAAGGCTGACTCTTGATGTGTTTGATGTAGGCTCGCTCCAGTTTAATGCTTTCACAGTGCAATAGTGTAGTATACTCCTCGATGGTAGGTACCATGTCCTCCTGGTTGAAAGTGAAGCAACTGTATCCCAGGTTCCAAAATTGAACCAAGACTCTGATTAAGGGCTCATTGGTCTTAACATGAAGCAAAAGTGCAATGTCACCATACCGCTGATTGAACTTCTGTTTCCGATCATTCTTCCAACTATCTCATATGTCTCGAAGTTCTTGCACATTATTCTGTTTTAAACTGATAGAGGCGTAGCTAACTAGCTCTGACACATAGCTTCCTTGAAGACTATCTCCATTTTCCTTCTGAGTCTTCTCGGACCATAGTCGTACCTCGGGGTTTTTAATCTCTTGTATTACAACACCTTTGTCCATGGATTCAGATTATTCGAGTTTTAACAAACACGTTTTAGTGGATCAATGACCTCTTTTAAATGATGCAGGTGATGAAAACAAAATAAAAGAGAACAAAAACAAAAAGAGTTAGTTAGGTGAATCAAAATAATAATAAAAATGAAAAATCATACCCCACATGATATCTACCCCTCATGCTTATTATTCCTACCCGGACATGATCTCTATCCCGTAAGTTGGTTTTGAATAAGTCCTAACCGCATAAATTTCTAGTTCACATGCTTTGAACAGAAAGTAAAGCAGGAAATAATTCCGGCATCCTAGGGTTTGAAATGAGGTCTTGGGGTAGGCCCTAACTCCTTGTAGTCTCCGGTTTAGGTTCTAAAAAAAGGGTACCCGAGTTCTCCTTGTTGGTGCCCCCTTGGGCTTACCAGACCCTTAGTCCTAAACCCATCACAGGCTTGTGTGGACTAAGTTAAACTCGAGAGGACACATTCCCTTATGCCCATACGGAGAATAAATTCACACGAAGGCATAAGGTATATGAATCCCGAAGGTTACTTGCTAGGCCCATACGATGAATAAATTCACACGAAGGCGTCGCTTTCACCCCCACTTAAAACAGGTTCGGAGCTCGGGTATAGAGCCTTTAGATGAAAAAAAAGAAAACTTTGAAGGCTGAAATCATGAAAAAACGATTAGTCCAACTATTTACTCGAAAATAATCAAAAGTAAGTAAAAAGGATCGAAATATTACCTTAAAATTTAAACTTACCCTTTTCGTTAAAAAGACAATTGGAAATTACCTTAGCCTGACTCACTTACCGTCCCCAGCAGAGTCGCCAAGCTGTCGTAACCGTCTTTCGGTTGGGCCCCAGAATTGGGCTTCGACTTGAAAAATATGGATTGGAGTCGCCACCGATCATTTATTTAAAAATAAATGGGTTGATCGGATACCCTATTTCTTACCTGATCTGCGTCTTACCAGAAATATGTCGGGCTCGGGAGTCGGTTACGGTCAAGGAAGGATTAGCACCCTTGAACCGCCCTTACGGTACTACGTAATTTACAGTTGTCTTAATTAAGAAAAATGACAAGTTAAATTAAAAAGTAAAGTTTCGATCCTAATTACTTACCCTTGATTGATTTGAAAAAAAATCGAGAAATGTGTTAGATAAACAAGGTAAAGAAAACAAATAGGATACAAGGGAAAAATAAAATAAATAAGTAAGATAAGAAAAAAAATAGTAAAGTAATAATTGTATATAGTAATATTTGAAAAAAAGAAAAAAAAAATATATATATATATATATCAAAGTATTAATAAAATAAATAAGCAATATATGTACACCAAATACTTAAAAATAGAAAAGATACCCTCTCAATTCACCGAAAGTGGGGGCTTTAGTAAGAAATAAGACAAAAAATGGACCCTCTAGGTTAGTAATATATAATATAATGTTTAATAATAATAATGATAAAGACACAAGGTTTTTTTTAAAAAATAATATAATAATAATAAATAAAAAAACGAAAATAAAAATATATATATATATATATATATATAAAGTTATAAGATATATTACGTAAATAAAAAATAATCAAATAAAAATAATTAAGAATATATATTAATAATAGGTATATAAATAAACTATTAAAAGTATAAAAAATATATGACTAGATAAAGATAATTACAATATATATAGATAGTAATATTAGACTTATAAGTAAAATATTAAAGAAATATATATATATATATAATAGTAAAATATAGTAAAAAATAAATGAAAATAATTTATATATATATATATATATATACATATAATAATAATAACATGAATAATAAAAATAAATGAATAAAATATCCATATAATAAAAAAAGGATTAATATAGATTTTTAAAAAGCTCTTCCCCTCCTTTAACCGAAAATCAAACCAATTTTTAAAAATAAGCCTCGGGGTAGATCAAGGTTCGAAACTTCGAAACCCCACCCGTTTTGGTCATCGGCGCAACCTACGTTTTGGGTTATTCGAACCAAATTTCAAGAAAAATAACGTGCACATGCAAAAGAAAGAAAAAAGAAAATGCTACCTTTTATTTCCTTTTCGAATCCTTTACAATAGTTTTGCCTTTGTATCTTTCCGTGCTTTCCTCTATGTTTTTGTGTGTAAATCGTGTGTTACAATGGTGAGTTACAATGGCTATTTATAGTGCTTGTGGATCCTATCTTTAGGAGTTTAAATCATAAAATTCTATCCTATTTTTTGAATCCTAGCAAAATTCTATCATATCTTTAGGAGTTTGAATCCTAAAATTCTATCCTATTTTTAGGAGTTTGAATCCTAGTAGGACGAAAAATGTGTGTTGACAAAAATCAAATACAATTTTTCTAATATGGGTTTTCATGAAAAACACAAGCAAAGCCCTTCACCAAATACAATTTTTATGACGTGGGTTTTCGTTATTAGAACAAATGAGAGAAAAGGGTGGACTGGTCGATATGGGTTTTGATTAAAAAAAAAAGCAAAATCCTTCACCAAATACAACTTTTATGATATGAGTTTTCGTCGTTAGAACAAATGAGAGAGAAGGGTGGACTGGTTTTGACAAGGAGAAGAGATGAAGAAGAAGAAGGGGGAGGGAACGCCAGCAGCCTTCGCCAGAGACGGATGTAACGCCAACAACCATTAAAGAGTGAAAGAAGGAGGAGAAGAAAAGTGGTGGTGGTGGGAGAAGAAGAGTTTGGGTGGAGGGGACGAGGGACGGTTGGGTTCTTTTTTTTTAAAGAAGATTTTTTTTAAATATATTTATATTTTATAAAAAATAAAAAATTTAGGAAAAATATTTGAAATTTATATGCGTGACATATGTAGATAACGATAAAATCTAATGACCGTTACGGTCTAGATAGTTAAAAGTATAACGAAAAAAACTTTAGACATCTATTTTTAACGAAAAATTTTTTAGATACTAAAACGTTTTTCAAGATATAATTTAAACATTTATTTTTGTACTCAACCTAAAATATATATGAATACAACATTTATCATTATCTCTTAAATCATTGACCTTATAAAAATAGCAAATCAAAATCTAAATTATGTCAATTGAAAATAAAAAGTTGATTACATCCCTAAAAAGCCCTTTATATAACCATACCAATCGTTCCAATCAAAACCATGGTTAATAATTAACCTAGGTTGAACCAATCATGATGACGATATAAATTAGATGGTTGGGACAATTTTTTGAATGCCTTTAACTTCACTAGACCCTCTTACTCCTTTGTTTTTCCCCCCTTACTCTCCCAAGGCAAAGTGGGGCTTAGCGAAGAACTCAAAAGACAAGGGTAAAAAAGAGGTATTAAGGAAAAATCCAAGGGGCAAAGCGAAAATAAAAAATAAAAAAGCAAACACAGAGAAGAGTCTCATCGGAACCCTTCCGTTTCATACCCCAAAGAGAAAAAAAGGGGGGAAATTTATGGTATGTTTTCTCCTTTTTTTTTCTTCCTTTGTTTGATTTTACATTTGTTGGTTAGTGCTTAAGGAGGGAAATTCTTTGAATGCTAAAATCCGAAAAAACTCAATCAAAACCCTAGATTCCCGCCAAAAAAGATCCAGATGTGTCATGGCTACTCGTTTTTTTGGTTCTTTCATATTTAACATAGTACTACTTTTTATATTTGTTTGTCATTTTGGTCCTGATTCGTTTTTGTTTGTTTTGTCAAATAATGAAAGTTCATACGTATGAGTTGATAACTATTTTTTAGGGTTTGAGTTCCAAACCAATGACAGGATTGTCGAGTGGAGCTGACGAATCTTCACTAGATTGCAAGAAAAACCCTGAAAAGAAAGACCCGGCAAGCCCTTCGATTGATTTGGATTCATTTTCTGAAGGGTCTTTGTTGAAATCTGAACCTGATAAGCTTAGGTTCCGGTTTAAAAAGTTTCATGGGCTCTTTCTGAAAGAGATCTGTGCCCAAGGTTGTGTTTGCTCTCTCCCTGCAATGCCTGAAGATGGGCAGCCTGTGGACTGGCTTAAGCTTTTCTTAGTTGTAAGAGAGAAAGGTGGATACAATGCTGTCTCGGAAAGTGGATTATGGGATTCGGTTGCGGCGGAATCTGGGTTAAGTTTGAATATAGCGTCGTTGGTGAAGTTGGTTTATGTTAAGTACTTAGTTTCATTAGAGAGATGGTTGGAGAAATTTGTTCAAAGTAAGGACTCGGCGAGTGAATCACATTATAGTGATCATTTATTGGAGATGGGAGCTGAGCATAAAAGGTTTTTATTGGAATCTAAGAAATTTGTGGAGTTTTCTCTAGTGGAAGAAAGTATAGTGGCAGGGTCAGGTGAAGGAGAGAAATGTGTACACGGTGAAGAATCTATACATATTGATTTAACAAAGGAGTTTTTGGATTACGAGGAGATGGAAAAATTTCGAAATGATGATGACTCGAAGAGTGTGGTGGTTGACTCAGACGGAAAAAAGTGCATTAATGTTGATGAATATGTGGATACACCTTCAGATTTGGAGAGAAGTGTGGGCAACTCATCTGGTGTTGAGAAAATGTGTAACGAGTATGAGGCTAAGAGTGCAATTATGGAGGATTCTGTTGAGTGTAAGAAATGCTCACATGGTGCTAATCATGTGACGTTGGATTCAAATGACACTAAGGAAAGTTTTTCATCCCATAAGAGGAAGCGGGATTCTATGTGGGGAATGCTTAATTGGGTTATAGAGGTTGCGAAGTATCCATGTGATCCAGTGGTTGGTTCATTACCGGAGTGCATAAAGTGGAAGCCTTCTGGCAGTGAGGAACTGTGGAAGCAGATTTTATTGTTTCGAGAAGCTGCCTTTCGCCGAAAGGGTGATCAGTCAAGTTCTGACCAATCAAAATGGCAGGTATTTATAAGTCATTAATTGAAGTGGGAGGTCATTGTATGTCTTAGTTATTACATGTCCCTTACTTTTAGTCTAAATTTCCAATGTTAACTCATTCACCTGGCACTATGTATTCTCAAAGAATACCAGCATAAAAATAATTTATTGGAAATATCAAGATATCTTAAATAGATGTAATGACATAATAGATCCATGAGCAGAACCATTGTGGTGGAAATGGAATTATTTTTATTGTGGTTTAGAGGCTTGTATATTTAATCTGTTTCATGGTATGTAACTATATATTTTTGCTTGATATATATTATTACTTTTCCTTGAAGAATGAAAACCTATAGGGTTACCTAATATGATCAAGTAGTGAACTATGATGCAAAAAGGACTAAAAAAGTATTGACGTGTCGAACGAATTGAATTTTGATACGGGCTGTTATAATTTGTCTGAAGGGCAAGCATTATTAACATGCCAAGTAGCACTATTCCGATTTTTATCTCAAAGAATCCTGATGATTTGAAACTATAACTATGTTTTCTTGTTTTTGTATTGTGCTATCAATTGTCTATATAAGAAAAAAAGGTTATTTCATGATATACCTCTGTGTTTTCCTTTTCCTTTTTGTGTAAGTTATAATAATTGCATTATGTTATGTTCATACTTTTGTAGAAATCTCAGATGCATCCATGCATGTATGATGATAACACAAACATTGGGTACAAACTCAGAGAAAGGTCGAGTTGCACCAAGAAGCTCCTTTTTGGGAATTTGCCATCAAAGGGTCTGGATGGTCCTAAGGCTGGGATTTATAAACAGTTGCATGGAACTTGTGACTCTGTGACGCCAGGTTCGGTTTTCTATTGGGACGTTGTCAATCCAGTTCCTATTGGGCCACATTTTCAAGCTGAGGTACCAGCATGGACAGATGTAGCTTCAGAAAGTGATGCAAAATGGCTGGGGACTCGTTTTTGGCCATTGGAGAAAAAGGAACCGAGGTTTCTAATTGAAAGGGACCGGATCGGGAAGGGAAGACAAGATTCATGTGGCTGTCGTAGTGTAGGTTCTGTGGAATGTGTAAAATTTCATGTTGCTGAGAAAAGATCGAAGATGAGGCTTGAGCTGGGTTCAGCTTTCTACAAGTGGAAATTTGGTAAGATGGGTGAAGATGTTGGATCTGCTTGGAGTAAGGAAGAACAGAAGATGTTTTCTTATATAGTGAAGTCAAATCCTTCATCAGTACAAAAATGTTTTTGGGATGAGATCCGCAAGCACTTCCGCAAAAAAAGTAGGGAAGAACTTGTTTGCTATTATTACAATGTCTTCCTTTTGCAGCGTAGAGCATATCAGAATCGAGTCACTCCGACCAACATCGACAGCGATGATGAACCTGAATTTGAATCAGTTGCTAAAGGCATCAGGCAGGAAGTAACTAAGCCTTGCACCTTCTTAATTTCCCCGAAGAAGCTGCAGAAAAAATCAAGATACTCTTCCAAGTAAATAAGGAATAGATCGACAAAGACGCAAAGGCTGTCGGTTAGTTCTTTTGAGGTTTCGATTAAAATAGACATTCCTCTTAGTCTACATTTTGATGAGTGAAAGTTCTGGTGGCCCAATTTTGTTTGAAAGGGGTAGAAACACTGATTGATGACACCTCTGGTCTCGAGCAACCCGGTGCATGCTTGTTTCAGGTTTTGAGGTATATTCATGTTCATTTTTTCAAACTATCAACATCAACCAAATACGGGCATTTTGGATGTGATACAAGAACCTGGTATTTTTTCGCCTATTAGCTTGACAAAAAAAAAATTCCAAAAGGCTGTCTCAGGTGCAAGTGACAGCCACCTGAGACAGCCTGCGCTGATATTGAGCCATAAATTTTGCTTGGTAAGATGAAAAAAGAATGATGAAAATGGAGTAGAAAAATAGAAAGATGAAAAGAGATTATTTGATATTGAGCATATAGTTTTTTTCTCTTTTTTAATTTATTTTTTCTCCTATCATGATTTCGTCTAAGTCAGGTCCGTACACCATACACCAGACTCATAGGCCTACATGTAGGGGTTGTGTAAACGAGCCGAGTCGAGTTCGAGTATTGTTGAGTTCGACTTAACTCGAAAACTCTGAAATGAAACTCGACTCGATTCGAAAACTCGTGAGTTTAAAATTTTCAAACTCAACTCGAACTCGTAATCCTAAATTGAAGCTCATGAGCAGCTCGAAAAGGCTCGAAATGAAAAAAAAAATCTTAAATTTAGTTTGATTGAAGTCTCAAATTCAAAATCGAACATGAACCTTAAATACATGAAATCTTACTGTATTTAAAAAAAAAATCAATACATAAATATTAATATTATTATTAATTTATTTTTTTAAATAAAATCTTAATATATTATATTTTCAAGCTGTTCACGAGCTTTTCGAGTCGAATATCGAGTAGTTTGTTTCAGCTCGTTAAGAACTCGAGTCGAGCTCGAGTCGAGTCTATTCGATTTACGGGCCATATCAATATTCTATTATCTTCAATAACGACTGTTAATACCGAATGATTAACTATTAATATCGAATGATTGATTTATTATAAATCGAGAATGTTAACCAGTGATGAAAAAGGAAAGTTACTCAAACATAATTAATCATGTAGTTTATCTTAATGGTAAAAAGCTTAATTTAGTATAAAAGGAAAGCAGAATAATTAAGTAGATCACACAAAGATCGACAGAGACCATCGCTATAGCAAAGCAGCAAAATCCATTCCACTCCGCCTCTCCAACCTTTCCAACATGAAGAATCATCACTCAATTCTTCTTCTCCTGCTTTTAATTTCGCTTCTTCTTCTATCCCAAATCGGAGTGGAGGGAGGCAAGCGAAAGATTCACATTACCAACGATCTCGACGACGTCGTCGACGATGAGGAGGATGAAGCATGGAAAGAATGGGGTAAGAAGAAATCCTCCGATGAATTCGATCCCCCACCTGATTTCGACAACATGGAGCTTTCCCAGATTCAAGAAGAAATCACGAAGCGCCAGACGGGCCCTGCTTTTGGCTTCGTTAAGCTCCGCTTAGGGATTCCTCGAGATAAGGTTGTCTCTCTCTTCATTTCATTTATTGGGCAATTAATGTTGAATTGGGAAATTTTTGGTTTCAGAACACGGTAGCTGAATTAGCTGCTAAATGGACCCAACTCCTGAGAACGGGAGCGCTTGGGGTGAAATTCATGGGCGTCGATTTAGGCACAATTATGTTCAACTTGGAAGACGGGCACAAAGTATTAGAGGTTAGCTCACAATGATTCCTTTTGCAGCTGCAAAATTTGTTGTTCCTTGTTTTATTCAGTGGGAATTTTTCTATGTTCTGTAATTGCAGTTGAAGGAATTCATATTGAACCAGGATGAGGCGTACGAGATAAAGATTGGAGATCAAGTTTTCAGAAGACCCAGAGATCCGCCGATAGAGGTGGTGGCTGAGAAACTCCGGGAATCAAAGAAGAAGGAAGAGATTGATGAGCATGTGAAAGAAGAACTGTAATTTGCTGGAAATTCTATCCTCTCTTTTGGCACGTTAAAGATTGATTTATTTAATTGCATGAACAGCATCTGAAGCGTTGACAGTGTAATTTTATTATTAAAAGCTTGATTGACTTCTTGTTCTCTGTATATTCACAATCGCAGTTTGTTTTCTGCACATCTTAATCCAAATAATTTTATCAGTCACCACATATATTAATCAATTTAAGGTTTCTATTTTCGAAGTAAGAAAAAAAATGATGATGATAACCAAAAATTATTATTAACGATTAGTTCCTTTGAGTCCCGTTCAAGTTATCACCTTGTAAGAATCAAAGAGCCTCAATAATTAAAAGATTTATTATTATTCTTTGAAGGTTCGAGTTCATCGTCACATCAAATTTGATGTATACATATTCCCTAAAAGAAAAAATTAAGTCCCATGTCCTGATTACCTTCATTATGAAAATATATTTATTCAAAAATAAAATTATGTCTATTTTATGATATATATTCAGGTTCAAGGCTTTTCCTCCCAACAAGATTTTTTTTAAGATTCAATTTTTTCTTTCTCTTTTTTTTTTTTACAATAATTTTGATCATCTCTTCAAAAATACAATATACATTCTCATTACATCCAACACTCGATGATAAAACAATCATTTACTAAATCGAGTTAGCATATATATGTAATTCAATATTCATTAAACTTTATCTATTAAAATTTAATATTTATTTAGTTTTAATGTAATAATAAAATATTGATATATGAAAGCGTTGTGCTTCAACATTTACCGAGTCTAGACAAAAAATAAAAATAGAGTAACAACTCTATCTTGAAAATACATAAAAATATCTTAAAGACGACTTTAAAAAAATAAAATAAAAGGTATTTTATTGACAAAATATATTTTGAGAATTGAGATTACAGTTCAATTTAATATGAATATGTACAGCAATAATAGAAAAAATAATTATGATTTTAATATTTTAAAAAATATCAAATTAATTAATCATTTTTAAATTTAATGTCAAAACATTAATTCCTTTTTTAATGAAGATGATGGTTCATGAGTTGCTACACTTTAAAAATGAAATGAAACAAGGAACTTCGGCCTGAAAAATACACAATTTTCCAGCCAACTCAAAATGTTGTTTGAAGTAGGAGGGCCTTACATGTTGGTACAATGTTTTTTAAATACCGCTCTCTGCTGTCTTCAGCAGGGTTTTTTCCATTCACCCTGGCATGTCTGCTTCATTCTATTACTCAGAAAGTTGCCATCTTTTTCATTATGTCGGCGGCTTCCTTTCTTTCTCGTATACCATTTTTCTACATTTTCTTAGTCCAGAACTTTCTCTCCGGTTGCAAATAAGTTCCAGACTAACGTGCCTATGATGTACAGAGCAACTGACACCTTAAACACATCATCCCAGGAACCTGCAGGGGTGAAATTTACATGTGATAATAAACTCGATACAAGTATTCGAGAATAAATTCAACATCAAGGCAATTATTCTGTGCATAGATTTGGTCAAACCTCGTTGGAGTATGTAACCGGTAGCAGCAGTACCAAACACACCGGCCAGCACTCCGGCTGTGTTTGAAAGTCCTAATAGAACACCCTGTGATTGATGCAAACAACTTGCTTTCAGAACAAAGAAAAATGCCATTCGAAACAGGAAACACAGTTCATCAAGGAATCTAGAAAAAAAGCGTCCGATAATGATATTTTTCTTGAGGGTGGTAAAAACTCCAATAATCAATCTGTTGATATTAGTTTCAGCTCTTCGCAGAAAACACCGGACTGATTTTATCTTTACGCAGATGGAAATGTTACTTCAGTCTTTCAAATTTCACAAAAACATATCACAACCATAGTAGGAGCAAAACTGAGATATCATATCCGCAAGAGACATCACTTGTAGTTATACATTACTTTATAATGTATTGTAAAGAAACTTACAGCATATCGTGGGCCGATGTCTTGGTGATTGGAGTAAAGACCAGACTGTGAGAATGCATCAGATCCCTGTCAAGAAAAAGTCATTTATGGATCAAAATCTCAGCTAGGTTGAAAATTTATTTAGTTGCATCTCATTTTAACCACAAGAGAAACCAAACACCTCATGATCTTTTTTGGTCAGTCTAAGACATGAGTTCACTATGCACACTGTCACACCCCAATTTAGGGGCTAAATTTTAGAAATTATAAATTTTGAATTTAAGTGATATTTTGGAAGAAATTGATGATTAAATTGTAAAATCGTAAAGTTGACAGACCATTTTAGAAAGTGCAAGAAATTCAAAGACCCAGTCCTAAATTTACCCATTTTTCTTATGTGTTGAATTATAAACCCCTTCCGCGTCTGTTTTCCCATTTCCACTCCCCCTGGTCAACTACTTTGAGTTTCGATTTCTCCACCGTTCGTCGATTCGAAACCACCAATAGATTCACCATTGAAAAGAAAACAAAATCCGACCTCTATTACATCGTAAATTGACGTCGTTCGTCGTAAATCTCAACCGGAAGTTGATTTTCCGTCGATTCAAGTCGATCCGGCCACCCGTTTTTGACACCTCCTGCACCATCGTGTTCTTTGTATCGTTCCGAGTCTACCGGTGTCCTTCTTGTCTCCGCCGTCGCCAGCGCGTGAGAGGTGATAAAGTTAAAGTTTATGACGTTTCGGAATCGAGCTCTCCGCCGTTCAAAATTGTGAACCGAGCTTGGTAAGTGTCTCAAAATGCCTTAAAATAATTTTAGAAATTTTTGTGAAATTTTTTGGACATAGTACGACATCGCACACGCCACCCCCTGCGAGTGGGCTTTCTGTGGCAGCTTGGTAAATCAGTTGATCGGCTGGACCGAGCCGAGCCGCTGAGCCGAGCCAATCCGAATGAGCCGTTGATCGTTGACCTGCACTGACCGTTTACCGGCGTTGACTTTGACTGTTAAGTTTGACCAAAAAGTCAAAATTTTCGAAAAATCATATTTTATGTTTTTCGACTTCCTGAATCCGATTCCAAAGTCCGTTTCGCCAAATTCGAATTTAGTAAGCTATTTTTCAGTGATTTATCACCTGATTCGATCCGTTTTCGCAATTGAGCTCTGTTTTTTATGAAATTTCTGTTGATGTGTATCGGAGGAATTATTGGAAGTTGATTTCAAGATCGAGGGCGTTCGAATGGAGTTCAAATAGTCGATCAATATGGCATGGAAATCGAGATAATACATTACTATCTCTTTATGCTTTATGGAACATGTTGATATTGATAAATTCATGAATAAGGAAATGTTTGGTCTTATCTGAGTAGTAAATTAATTCCTACAGTCGATCCGAATGCGGTAAAAAGTCGGTAACTAAATAAAATTCTGATGGCTTGTACAAGAAATTAGAAGTTTAATAAGAAATAATTTCAAGTTCAGAGATTATTCAGAAAGGCAATTAACCTTAGGATCTCTAAATTACATTTATTTTTGTTAAGAGTTTTAATACCGAAATTATATGGTTAAGAAATTATGAAATTACCCTTGAAAGGAAAAAGTAGCCCGAATTGACCCTGAATGGAAAAGTACTCAAGAAGTCATTCCTAAATCGATGAATTACTAGTTCCATCGTTAAGTTCACACCTTTATACAAAAAATTCCTGATAATCCGTAAATCTCCAAGTTATGAGTAAATACCAGAAGAATAATTTATCGAGGGTGCTCTTTTGTCAGAATTGTTTGAAAAGACTGGAATAGATGAAGGAAATGATTGAAATACCCTAGATCTGTAAAATGACCAAATTACCCCTGGAATAGAAATGACCCAAGAATATCACCAAACCCATAAATGAATGGATATCCTCAAGCTTTAAAATGACTGAAATAACATCGAGTACCAAAATGACCAAAATACCCTTATGAACTATACTAAGTAAATGTCTTAGATTAATTAAGGAATCCAAATAAACATGGGTATTGTACTACCCTTAAAAGTTATGGAACACAACTTAAGTGAGTCGATCAACACCAATGATATATCCGTACCTGAATGGCATAGATATCATTTGAATGCGTGTTCGTCTTCTCAAGTTTGGATCGATGATAATTATAGAAGTACTAAGCTTATCTCAACTCTAGAGCGCATTCGGTACTAAGAAATGGATATTCATTAGACAAATCAACCATAAATACTAAATTGAACTGAGCGGAAGTACAATATGTATCAAAATTCATAAGCGTCTGAATTCCTCTGGAAAAATCTGAAGTAACCAGGATAGACTTGACTGCTAAATGAACTAAGTAACCTCAATGACTGAAGATTAAATAATTGATTTGGATGAGTCTGGAAAGCCAATGAACTTAAATGATGTACTGTCTTTATGGATCATGAACCACGAAACAAGTACGTCAGTATTTCCTGACATTGTTGAAACATGAAATAAAGACCATTGGAAGATCTATCCAGCGATGATTCTAAAGATGATCTATGGATAAGAATTTTTGGTATTAAAGAGTAAATACCCTGAAAGGATAATGAATTGATCAGTCGACAAACATTAGTTTTGGGAGCTGATCATCTCGAGTTGTTTCGATAATCCGATCAATCGACATAAATTGTAAAGATCATGAATCTTCGTTCTTCCTTATCAGCTCAAATCACCCTCGTCATATCTGAAAACACAAGTAACTCAAATGTAAAGGATTCTGAATACCCTTCTGATTATGTAGAGCTTCGAAAATTGCCCGAATAAGATATGATCCTAATTAATCACATTCTGAATAGTTGATGATTCTGTCAGTTAATGAACTCTTCCAATAGTGATTCTAACTTCCGGCATTCTATCGGTATATCGAAGATCCGTGTTTCTCTGCCCGGTAAGATTATCCAGTATCTCTGAATAATATCTGTAAACACTAGTGTGTTCCCTAATCACATGAATATTTTATCTGATTTCCGATTTAAATTCTATTCTGATTTCTGATATGAATTATGTTCTGATTTCTTATCTCGATTCTGTTATGATATTTGACTTGAATTATACTTTGATTTCTGATATCTCCGTTTATTGACGGAAAATGTTTTATATGGAAGGGTGTTGTTGGAGGAAGTTATCGTTACTGCAGGTTCTTTTGCTTTATGCTCAGGGCCTTACTAGGTGTGCTGGTGGGTGTATGGCTCTGGGAAACCTACACATTATGGAGTGTTCGATTGGAGAGATTAATATGGTTTTTGATAAATGTTTTATGGGAGGGTGTTGTTGGAGGAAGTTATCGTTACAGTTACTGCAGGCTTCTCTGCTTTGTGCTTAGGGCCTTACTTGGTGTGTTGGTAGGTGTATGGTTCTGGGGAACCTACACATTTGGACTTGTTGGTTAGAGGGATTACTATGTTTTTTAAAAATATATTTTAAAAAGATTCGTATCTTTTCACTGGTTTTGCGGGAACACACTAGATAATCTATTTTGATCTCCTGAACTCAGTCATCCGAAATATTCCCTGGAATGAGCGCTCATTGTTTGTTACTCCCTGAAATATCAGTAGAATCTCTGCTCAACATAAAAAGCTTTAGATATCTAAACCAATAAGGAAATATATGTTTATCTGTATATGCACGTTCTTCAGCATCATCTGGTAGTTCTGTATTACTGAGCTTTCCAAAGCTCACTCTGTTACTCACCTTTTCAGGTTAAGAGGATTGAACCAGTGCAACTATCAACATCAGTAAGGGAGTTCGTCCGGCGTTGTTTGCAGAGTATAGTACATGTAATTAGGGGGCATGTAAATTGTATTTTGTTTTATATACGAGTCTAAAAATATGTTTCATTTCTAAGTACTGATAAATTATTTTATGAGTTTACGTGTTTAGATAAAAGTTTTAAATTTTCTGATATTTTTTACAGTAGGTCGCTCCGGTGGCCCTAATGTGACACCCCAGTTCAGATCGGGTTACCCGCATCGGTCTGAGGGGGTTACACACACATTTTAAAATAAACTAAGGGAAGTTTAGGCTGATAAGAATCTCATAATTGAGAAAGAAAAGAATAATTAATATGAGGTTGCAGTAATTCGAAGCTCAAGTGAAATTGAAAGCAAACAAGATCATACCTGACTACATGCCATGCACAGCACTGCCATAGCAGGTGTCTTGACATGGCTTAGCTGTGTAAGGAAAAAGGCAGGCCCCAAAAAGCCTATTGATTGCATGATCTGCACAATTAATGGGTTTCAGAAAGGATTACAAGAAAGGAATATGAATCAAGTAGTGTTACCATCAAGTAACCAACACATCTACTGAACTACCACATTTCTTATCATTCCATATTCGAAGGTCACATCTAAATGCCATGCAAGACTCCATTGTATATAAACAAAATATACTCCTGTCCTGTGTGTACTTTTCTGTTCACTCAATAGGTCAAGTTAACCTTTGAAATTTCAAATGTGGTACAAGCTGCTCACTAGCATTTGGCACCATTAGGTAATGCACTTGCAGGAAAGATGAAATGTGCATTGAATTTAAATAAAATCAGAAGGGTTATAACATATAATCAGAATAATAATCTACCAGAAGTTCATACTTGCAAGCATTTAATAACCCTTTGAAATAAATCAAGTTCTAAGAACCAAAGAATCAATCCTTGCCTTACGAACTGATGTTACAGAAAGACCTTTGCTCACTAGTGTATCTGCTATCCATCCTCCTATATTTGCAAAGGCAGCCATAGTCAACCATGGCAATACACAGAGGAGTCCCGATTCCGTGAGGTTGAACTTCAAAACCTGTATGAACCACCATAATGTTGGGTATCAAAGTAAATGAGAATGCAAAATCAAGATTCGTAAATAATTTTCTGGCTGCTAGCTTGGATTTGTAAAAGGTCAACGACATTGAGAAATTTAGTAATTAACAATCAGTAATAAGGCCTAGGCTGCAGTAGCAACAAGGCCTGAAAAGGAGTGGGGATCCGTATACACTCAAGCCTGATACCTAACAACACAATAAGTACTTAGCAAAGCCTGCCAATTCTCTTTACCTTATACAAGTCAAAGCCAATATCTGATTCAGAAAAAGAATATCGCAAATGCAAGCAAAAAAAGTGAAACAAATGAAAAGGCATGTACTGGAGTCGATGTCAATTGTAAAGTTGACATTCTTCATTGGATCATGATTCAAATACCTGATTGTAGTATGTAGGCATCCATGTCAAGAGAATAAAAGTTCCCCAATTATGGCAGAAGTGGGAAATTATAAGAGCCCAAACAGGGGCTTTTGATAATATTAATCGCCATGGAATGACCTTGACAGGTTCCCTGGATATGCTGCCTCCCATGATTAGTTGCTTTTCTTCTTTACTAAGCTCTGGGTCTTCCTTTGGGGAGCTATAAGCCTGAGAAGCAACCAGAAAAGGGCAGGAAGAATTCATTTACTTCTTTTATAAGAATATCCAAAACTACTAGTTTGGAGTGCATTGTGAAAATGTAACATTGCAGTTAAACATTTTAGCAATAATGGTGACTTTGAAGAATAGAGATTTTTGTTGATTCTTTTGATATATTTTGAATAAAAAGCTAAAGGAATCAGCAACTCACTTTTCTCAGCCATAATGCAAACCAGATGCTTCCAAGGGAGCCAAATGAGTAAAATACAGATGGCCAACCCAACTTGCTGATTAAGATAGGAGAGAAAGCCAGTCCAATAACAGAACCAAGATACATGCCACTGTACACAAGTGCAAGTGATCTACTTCTCTCTGACACTGGAATCCACTTTGAAAGTAGGTTGTTCATTGCAGGCATAGCAACACCCTTCAAAGAAAATAGTGCAATCAGATGAGTATCCTTTGCACTCTCTTTCAAGGAAGGTAGTGAACTGTTGAAACCTCTATCCGTATGGAGTTAAAATAGTTGAAACCTCTAATCCATTAAAGTTGCAGAGTCTACCCCTTTCCTCTCATGTTTTCATCCAACTGATAAGTTAGTTAGCATTATAAAATAAATAAATATATATTGAGTTAAAACAATAGAAACCTCTAATCCATTAAAGTTAATGCGTTTACCCTTTTCCTCTCATGCTTTCATCTTGTTCCAACTGATAAGTTAGTTAGCATTATAAAATAAATAAATAAAAAGTTCTACCTTCTTAGACTGTTTGCACAGGAAGCAAAGGCTGCTTCACTAAGTAAGTGAATTTTGGAGGTAGATAGGTAGTTAACCACAGGCCAGTACGGGATATATATTAAAAACTAACAAGCCAAGCAGAACCAACCTCGCCAATTCCCATAAAAGCACGCATAATTAGCAAAAATGGAAGTCCAATTCTCGCAGCAATAGGTGTCAAAATAGTAGCTGCTGACCACCAGATAACTCCAAAGCCCAGGACTAGCTTCCCACCAATTTTATCTGCCCATATGCCTCCGAGAATCTGAATGTTGAAAGAAAATGATAAGATTAAAAAAAAGGTGAATTTCGAGTTTCAGCAAACACTGATTTGAAAACCACATACATGTTTAGGTGTGCATCAAAGTAGAAGATTTGAATATGCATCACGAATTCTTTCAAGAAAAAGAATATGCATCAAGAATACAAGAAGGTCAACACAGTATATGCTGGTGTACGGATCCTCAATGGAAACAAATAATTATGCATTTTTAATAAATATGAAACAGACCTGAGTGAGCAGGTAGCCCCAGAAGAAAGAGGATTGAATCAAACCAACTGTTGCACTGTTCCAGTTAAACTCTTTTGACATGGGGAGTATTGCAATGCTCATGTTGACCTGCAAAAGGCATATATAGCACACAGCTCAGTCAGCACACATATAGAAAGTTATTGCAGTGCTATTGTTTGCGAAGAAAACTACTCACACGGTCCATATTGCATAACAGGAATGCTGCAAAACAAAGCAGCACCATAACCCAGCGCTTTGGAAAATTTTGCCACAAAGGGACGGCTTCTTGCATGTCTCCCCCAACTAAAACAGCTTCGTTAGTTCCATCTGCAGATGGCAAAGAAACCACCTTCGCTTCTGTTATGTCAAACTCCTCAGATTTATAGTAAACGCAAGTACCCCTTTTTCTTATTCTATCGTTGTCACTTGGCTCCAGCCAACCTCCGGGCAATGGACTTTGAAGAGAATAACATCCAAATCTTCCTCTACATCTTTGTTGAGAGTGAACTTTGTGAGACTTCTCACAGTAGCACAGTGACATTGAAGAATTTAGTCGCCTGCCATTAGATGAAATTGATAGAGGTTTCAAAGTGTTCTCATCTAAATGGACGGTGTTCCGAAGGAATTGGCCACATGCGTATCCAGGCACAAAACCATTGGCTTTTTGACCCCATAACTTTCGGTAAAACATGTTCCCATGCACAAAAGCAATGCCTGATCTGTCTCCCCTGTGAATCGAGACAGTTTGCTCCCCTAGACATACTTTACCTGCCATTATCACAGTTAAACTACAAATTACGGAGTTACTCGCAATGTAAGCAAACCTTCATAATATGGCAATGAACATAAAGAGGAAATCTCTAAATGGAAGAAATTAATTAATTAAAACCCAAGGCGATTACCCCAAAGCTTATGACCAGTAAAGAACTTTTACTCCACAGTCCACACAACACCAACCTCATATCCAACAAAATTCTAAACCAATCAAAATCCCATTTAAAAAAATCCCAGTTCTGCGAAAGCTAAAGGGTTTTACTGAAATTATATTTTCCCCATCCATCGATTGAAACCATTTATCACTTAATAACCAAATTCAGCAGTAAAACAAAATTATCAAAAATGGCAACATCATTTATCCACACTTTTAACATATAGTGATACTGCATGAAATCAAATTTTCATCTAAATTCCATCGAACTTCAATGACTCCAAGAAATATAGGCTACTCTTTTCCAGTTCAAAGTAAGCTTCAAATCCAAAGAGACTATTTAACAGAATGTAACCAGGAGCAAATAATTTGGGGGGAGGGATGCAAGTTTAAACCCCAAAGAAAAATCAATTAAACAAATACCTGAACCAATAAAAGAACCGAAACTCCGGTTGGAAACCAGACCGCCGATAGCCATTGCTGAAGTGCAAGTTTTACAGAGAAACAATCAGCTTGACTTCAGAGAACTAAATTATACCATTTCAGTTCAAAACAAGAGCTCGAAAACTCTAAGAAAGGACACCGCTTTTAGCTCTACCAACGTCCTCCCTTGACGCTGGAACGGATAAACAGATATTTCGATAGAAATTTGCCGAGGAGTTTTTATTATTATTTTTTTTGAAAGCGGGAAAATTATGAGTGGTTTCCATATGCCGAAGCAGAGAAGGGTCAAGAAAAAAACACGTGGCATATCATCCTCTGCGAGACTGAAGGTCCTGAAATACCCCTCTGTGCGACTCGAAATTACTGCAGGATCTGCGTAGAAGGGATGGTAAATAAATGGAATTAAAATGAGTGTTTTGGGATTTAAGATAACGAATCTCAACCGTGCTTTAACTAGAACGGCCTACCCATCGCTGCGTTCCGACAAAAAAAGTGAAAAGTAGGCCGGAAAAGTGATGCAACTTTTTAATAATTATTTTTTGTTTAAAAAATCATGCGTGGAATATTCCTATCAGTACAAGTGGAAAATGTTAATAATTATTTATTATTAAGAATGCAATGTAATTTATTATTATATTAATATATATATATTTAAGATATCATTTGACGGTGGAACTTGGTCTATAGATTCAGCCCGATCTCCTGAGAGAATAAAAATTTGCCCATCATAGTTCTTTTTTATGACTTTTATGCTTATTAATATTAAAAAAATCGTTTATGATAGGGATCGATGCTGATTAAATAACAATATTTTATTGCATAAAATAAAATATTATAAGGAAAACGAAATATGTACACATGAATACGGATTTATAATAAATCGTGTTTGAATAATTTTTTCTTTTTCTATCGATGTTTCAAAATTAATAGGCTGATCATTAATATTATAGATTTATAATAAATCGATCATTTAATATTAACAACCATTACTAAGAATGACAAATTACGGATGTGACACGTTAATCAATTAATTAGACATTATTTTTCTCATGTGAGACGATCTTTACAATGATCGACTTTCTCTCCCTTATTTAAAGACCTCCATAAATCCTAATTTATTTACCTCTCGCCAGAGGCCAGACCTCAATATCACTCATCCCTTTCATCATCACCTTAATCCCTTCAATACCTAAACTCAAAATCCCTAAATCTTCTTAAACTCAAAGTCCCTAAGTTTACAGTACCCTAATTTTTAATTCCTTCCATTTTCACCCTTCTAACGATGAGTTTTCGAGGAGGGGGAAGGGGTGGTTAAAGGGGGAAGGAATTAGAAATTAGAATACTGTGAGTTTATGGAATTAGGATATTTAGAGATTTAAGTTTAAGAATTTAGAGAATTATGGTGACAATAAATGGATGGTTAATAATAGAGTTTCATTAATGGATGGGTGGATGTTTGACGATGCCATCCAATAGTGGTAATGAGCTTTAGGATTAAGAATTTTTAGGGTATTTGGAGATTTTATGAATTTTGAGGTGTTTTATGAAAAATAGGAAAAGTTGTGTGTTTTTTTTTTAAATTTATGATTTTAAAAATAATTAAAGAAAATTAAAAATAGGTCACATGTTAAACACAGACTAACCGATTGCGTATTTTAATGGACTCAACAGAATTGACTTTAAAATGGTAACTTTAAAAATATTACTTTGACAAAAAGTTTTAGACCTCTAAAATAAACAAGAGGTATAATTTGGACATATATTTTTATATTAAACATATTAAAAATATATATTATTTTGATTTTTAAGAAGTTGAAAATACAAATTTAAATGTAATCTCGAATTAAAATACAAATGTGACACTTATTAAAAAATAAACTTGTTTAAAAAATAAAATATTTACATTTTTTAAGATACAAAAAAATTATTCAGTGATATTCTTTTATTACAAATAATTCAGAAGATAAATTTTTAATAAATAAATAATAGTTTGATGTGATTATAATGGAGTATATGTTTAGATTTTTTTTTTATAAATATTGACAATATACACGCATTTTGTAAATGTAACTCATTGAACTTAGGGTTTCTAAGAAGAATAACCTTTCATTTTACTACTGAAATCACTTGATGAATTTATTTAATCAATTATTAGTTAATAACATAAGTATTTAATGATTTAAAAAATTGAATAAAATTAAAATTTCATATATTATATTGTATATTTGATATTTATCATATCTTATGTTAATTAAGTATTATTATATGGTTCAAAAGACTACAGTTTATTACATATTCTTGATGACTTCTTACGGAAGGTATAAAAGGCATATTGTTCAGTCTTACATGCATTCCCTTTGCTAATTACATAAACTATGCGATTAGTAAAATATTTAGCTTCCATGTGACATCGACCTAATAATTTTGTTGTGATTTTAAAAAGAAAAAATTACATGTCTGACATAAATATGTTTAATTATTAAAAAAAATCATGTATTTTGAAGGGTTATATAACTCATATCCTGATTTTGTTGAATAAGGGTGTGTTTGTTTGCTGTAATTAGAATTACGGAATTGGTTTTTCCTGAATTTCCGTGTTTGTTTCACGTAATTCGTTTTCCGGAAAATGTTTTCCGTGTTTGTTTAACGTAATTGGTTTTCCAGAATGTAATTCATTTTCCTAGTAACAGAATTTCCTTTGTGTTTTCTGTAAAATGACTTACGGATTCATTTTCCGTAAGTCATTTTCCGAACTTTTCACTTCAAAGAATAAATACTCAAAATAATTTTATTTTATGAATTTAATATTAATAAAATATTTTAATATCATTTTCATCAAAATATTATTTATTTATTTATTAATATTTATAATAATATAATATAATATTTGTAATATTATATATAAAATAATCAATTATATTATAATAATATAAGATATTATATTTTTATTTTAATAATATATAGTAAAAAATTTATATATTTAATAATGAATAATATTATTTATATATTTAAATAATATTTTAATAAAGATATTTAAAATATACTAATTAATATTTTTAAAATATAATATAACACTATTACTTTAATAAATAATTAATATAATTTATAATATTTTATTTCACTAAAATATACAAAAATTATTATTTTTATTAATAAAATTATAAAAATAATATTTTAATAATAAATAAATTATTTTAATATTTTAAAATAATAATATTAAGTTTTATGATAAATACTATTATTTATTACATTTAATATTTGTAATAAATAATTTTTTAAAAACTCTTCAACTAGTGGAAAAGGGTTTAAATAACATCTTCCAAACATCATAAAACGTTTTCCAGATGCTTTTCAGAAAAATGTAATTCATTTTACGGAAAATGTTTTTCGGAAAATGTTTTCCAGAAATGTAATTCATTTTCCAGAATTCAAATTCCAGTAATTCATTTTCCAGTTCCAGTAATTCAAATTATAGTAATTCATTTTTCGAAAAACCAATTACAGCTAAACAAACAGACCCTAAATGTGTTAAAATTAATATTTCAAGAAAAACGAGGAGTAAAAAACCTAACAAGTATATGCCATTAACGTTATTGAAGTATTGTTGGATTCATTTTCAAAAGGGTATGTGATCAGAATAATGTTATATCTCTTCCTCAGCGATGCTAATTGTATTCTAATTGACTCCTTGAGGAAGAGTTATAGCATCATTATTGGAGGTTCTAATGTTATAACAAGGTTCGTTTAATATATTTGTCAATTAACATCGCTATCTTTTATAGATGTTTGATCTTTTTGTAGTGTCACAAATGGGGCTAATTTGTTCATTCTTTGGTTTAAAATAGTTTTTTTTCTATATTTATTTTCTTTTCCATTTTCTTATGAGAAAAGAAAAAGAATGCATGCTTATAGGGTAATTTGTTCCATATAGCAAAGCAATAGAGAAATAAATCCAAGATTGAAGATTTTTGACTTATTTGTTCATATTCTTTATGATATATCATTGGGTGGACGTAATATTAAACTATGGTTGCGATTATTGTATCGTAGTAGTGGATGTTATGATGTGATTTATTTCTTAAAAATAATAATGATTTTATGTTGCGGATGCGATTTGCGGTGTTGCGATGATCTTTAAAAATATTATGATGCAATCGTTATACTGTGTTGAAATTGTAATTTAATATTATGCAAGTGGATGATATGTGTTGCATATTTAGTTTGGAGGTAAAATGGAGATTGAGTTGGTATTTGGAGTCTATTTGTTCTTCTTCTGTCTCCATAATTAGGGTTCCTTTGATGGATGGGGTGGGTGTTCGACGACAACAATGGCGTCCAACTGTGGTAATTGACTTTAGGATTAGGATTTTTAGGGGTATTTTGAGGTTTTATGAGTTTTGAGGTGTTCTATGACAAATAGGAAAAATATGATTTTTTGTTTAAATTTTATGATTTTTAAAAAAATTTAAAGAAAATTAAAAAGTAGGTCATGTGTTAAACACAAACTGACTGGATGAGTCTTTACCAATTTTTTTAACGGACATAATAAAATCGACTTTAAAATGATAACTTTAAAAATATTACTTTAATGAAATAATAGACTTCTAAAGTAAATAAGAGGTATAATTTGAATATTTATTTTTATATTAAGCCTACTAAAAATATATGTTGTTTAATTTAAAAAAAATAGAATTACACATTTAAATTTAATCTCGAATTAGAATATAAATGTGAGGCTTATTAAAAGAATAAACTTTCTTGAAAAGATAAAATATTTACATTATTTTTGAAGATACAGGAAATTATTTAGTGACTGATGTTCTCTTATTACGAAAAATTAACAAGATAACATTTTAATAAGAATAGATTGAGATGTGATTACAATGTAGTATCTATCCAAAATTTTCTTAACATATTGACAACATACACACACTATATAAATGCGATTCTTCGAACTCAAGACATCTAGAAAGAATAATCTTCCTTTTTATCATTGAGACAACTTAATGGTTCATTTAAACGTTTATTAGTTAATAATAAAAATATTTAACGACTTGAAAAAATTGAATAAAATTGAAAGTTCATTATACTATACTGTATATTAATCAAATTTCATGTATGATTTTAATATTTATCATTTTTTATGTTAATTAAATAGTATTATATTGTTCAAAAACCTAACAAGTATATATCATTAACAATATTAAAGTATTGTTGGATTCATTCTTAAAAG